CTACTGTAGATCCGACGTCCGCCAGACACAAATGAGACAAGGAAGCTGTACACCGAGCTATGGGGAACTCCAGGTCCCGTCCTGACATCCCCGGTAACGGTGGAGACTGGCATAGACACTGAAGCAGTCTTCACACCGATCACAGCATTAGAGGTGAGCAATAAGATCAAACGAATCGCCAATTCATCGGCGGCAGGCATAGACGGCATCACAAAAGTGGCACTAACGGGCGAGGGCATAAGCGTCATACTGGCCAAGCTTTTCAACCTGCTACTATTGAAAGAGATCTACCCGACCGTTTGGAAACAAAACCGAACAACACTATTTCTAAAGGCGGGTAAAGATATAAATAAAGTTAAAAACTGGAGACCAATCACAATCTCCTCAATATTGGGAAGACTATTCTCTTCCATGCTGGATCATCGTCTACGGGGCGTTCTAACGCAAACGCTAAGACAAAAGGGCTTCACTAACAAGAATGGATGTTTCGCTAACACACGCCTACTCAGCGCAGCCACAATTGAGGCAAAAGCTAATGGAGGGGTGCTCAATATTCTAGACGTATCCAAAGCATTCGACACAGTCCCACACCAGGCAATACGTACCAGTCTTGCACGTAAAGGATTATCACCTACCGTGGTTAACTATATAGCAAGCATGTACACCGGCTGCCAAACCGTAATTAAAACCAGAGACGGCCAAGTATTAATAGAGCTCAAGCGAGGAGTGAAGCAGGGTGACCCATTACCCCCTCTACTGTTCAACCTGGTCATCGAGCCGATGATTGAAACAATTCAGAATGCCACCCGAGGCCTCTGTATAGAGGGACAAAATCTAGCGGCAATGGCTTTCGCCGATGACCTGGTGCTCCTAGCAAAAGACAGAAGTGCTGCAATTGAGCAAGTGCAACTGGTGTACAATGGGCTAAGAGGACTAGGCATGTCTCTATCAATTGAGAAATGCTTCGCTTTTCAATATATACCACGAGGCAAGACCTGGTACGTCAAAGATCCAGAACTGGTAGTAGGAGGGATACCCATACCATATGGAGAACCCGATAAAGCCTTCAAATATCTAGGTGCAACAGCCACACCTTGGAAAGGCCTAATAGAAGGACTAGAACTGGATACAATTCAAGATATAGTAGACAGAGTAAGAGCACTCCCCATGAAGCCGATGCAAAAAGTAGAACTGCTACGTACTTATCTACTGCCAAGATATACATATGGGCTAGTAATGAGACCACCATCAAAAGAAACACTAAAGAACATAGACACGATAATACGGAATGGAGTGAAGGAATACCTCCATCTCCATCACACAACGTCAAACGCTTTTCTGTATACACCAAGAAAAGAAGGTGGTCTGGGGCTTTTAGAAATATGCCCCATGGTACTATTGGCTGCGCTGAGAAACGCACTAAACACGATGGAATCATCCGACCCTTTAGTTCAGAATACTATGAGAAACGAAAGGTCACAAAAAGAATTAAAATCATATGCCACTGCGCTTCGACTACCTTGGCCGGCAACAGGTGCGCAACTAAACGACAAAAAGAGGCAAATTAAAAGAGGCTATCGCAATGACTGGTCAGCACAACCATTGCAAGGGCAGGGAGTAAACGACTATGCCCTAGAACCAACCGCAAACGCCTGGCTCACGAGAAGCGAACTACTAAGCTCGTCACGTATCATCGACGCTATAAAGATGCGAACAAACACATACCCGACAAGAGCGGCGATGAAAAGAGCGCACAAAGACATGGACGCAACATGTCGCGCATGTGGTGAAACGGAAGAGACGCTAGGACATATTCTAGGTCAATGTCCAAACACAAAAGCCAAAAGGATCAAAAGGCATAATGAAATTGTAACTCTTCTCAAAAATAGACTGGCAAAGACCAACCAGGTCATGATCGAACCGACCATAAATGTTGGCAGCGAGAGATTTAAGCCCGACCTCGTCATTTCGAATGAGGAACGGGCCATCGTGCTCGACGTAACCGTTCGGTACGAAAATAAAAATTATCTCGCCGAGGCAGCCGAAGAGAAGAGGGACAAATATAAAGAGGTCGCCACTAAAATGAGAGAGGTCCTAAAAACTAAAACGGCCTATGTGACACCAATAGTAGTCGGCTCGAGAGGAGCATTACCGGCCGAAACTGTACTAGAACTCAGAACGCTTGGCTTTAGAAAATCAGACATGTTAACAATATCAATGATTGCCCTGAGAAGCTCAATAGAGATGGCTAACCATTTCATGGACGGCCCAGCTCGTAACACACAGATCTCGGGCGGACTTCCCAGCTCCGTTCGGCCGGGGAACCGAAGTAGGCCGGCCTTGCAACGAGGGAGAAGCGGAGGTGATTCCCGCCACCGCTTCGAGTCGGTCCCTGGCCGGGCGGGGCTATAACAAACGTCGCACTTGACATGGATTCTAATCCCAAATACCCTATACATATACAATTTTATTCCTTGACACGGATTCCTTATCCTAAACTATTTATTATATTATCCATTGACTTTTCACTATCTGTACATAATTCTGTCTTACCTACTCCTTGACGGCCACTGAGGGCCCGCCTCGGGAAGTCCGCCCGCTAAAGCGGGCGCAGGATTAGCCAAATGCCTCGTCATCTAATTAGTGACGCGCATGAATGGATTAACGAGATTCCCACTGTCCCTATCTACTATCTAGCGAAACCACTGCCAAGGGAACGGGCTTGAAAAAATTAGCGGGGAAAGAAGACCCTGTTGACCTTGACTCTAGTCTGGCACTGTAAGGAGACATGAGAGGTGTAGCATAAGTGGGAGATGGCAACATCGCCGGTGAAATACCACTACTTTCATCGTTTCCTTACTTACTTGGTTGGGCGGAGCGCGTGCCCCGAGGGCTTCGC